GCGATCTTGCTACGGTACGAAAAGTGCAAAAACGCATAATCGCACCAGCCCGCCTGGTGCGTTCCACCCTGGGTTCATCTCAAGACCTAGAAAAGCTGCACAGCTGAAAATTTGGAAGCTTGATCTACATGCGTTTACGGGCCCCCATCTCCAAAATGGGCGCTGGTACCTGCGTACGGGCCCGCCAAAGTTTTTTTCGGGGTAAGTCACTAAATCGGGAATCTGAAAAATTAAAGGACTGGAATTTTAAACGGATGTTCCCCCTCCAAGTTGGCATTAGTGAGTTCAAACCCAGCCCTCGGAAAGCTGAAATTTTAAAAGGATGTTTTCAGACAGTCCCGGTGGCTAATCTCAATTATCTTAGCTAGTACCATTTGCCGGAAAAACCAATGCCGTTAGCGACAAAACCCTGCAGGGAACCATGCAAAAAACGCATCTTCTCACCGGCAGTCGGTGCGCTGGCCGTTTATTTACGTTATACCTTCGGCCTTCTCCTGCTTCTTCTTCTACTACTATCATTACCATACCAAACATTGATATTGCATTCTTATAATGCAACATAAAGTACAAATGAAACTCCATTTTCCACTGTAATGCAGGGCAAAACTTTTTGTCTAACTGCAGTGACATATTGCAGCGTAAGGCAAAAATTCTTGTCAAGGTGAATTGGTGCTCCCCTACTAACTGTACCAATAATTCAGTATGATAACATATCCTGCTACATGGAAACAAAAACAGATGGAACAAACCAATCAAGAAGTGCGTTGACGTCGCCCAATGGTTTGATGCCGACTGCTTTAAGAATCTGCGCAATAGCAGCCACACACGAGCGACGTGCAAATGCCCACTTTGCATCCAGCGCGGTTTGCCTTCAATTTTAACTTGGTACACTAACTAACCGATCAAGGATCGAAGCGTAAGCGCCAGCTGGCCATAAAAATTACTCACCGACTGATTACAGAAGTTAGAATATCGACGAGTTCAGCAGCAAAACAACGATCAGATGTGGACATCAGAAGTACCGCTGGGGGAAGAGCGCCCAGAAGTAACGCCATACCCTCCCTATTTATCTCCACATTCGCAGTGATTAACTGCAAATATTACACTTGGAATTCCCGATACCATATTTTTTTTTTTTTTTATTTACAGTAGCATATTCTAATACAGTTTAC